TGATTCAACTGATTTTTTATTCATCGTTGTTTAACACTACATAACATTTACCTTACCGTTTTGTGTCTGTCATTACAACACTGTATCTCCACTCAATGTTGCATTTATTTAAATGATTGATCAGACCAATCAGGATTGTMCGTAATTAGATCATGTGACTTTCCTTGAACATCACTGGATTGTTCTTGCATTTGTMCGTTCAACACGAACGCTCATCATCTAACAAACGATGCCCATATATTTTAGACTTCCAAGCCATTCTCTTCAGCATGTAAAGAGTGGTATCTGTGTTCATTCCTCCTATGGTACACCAAAAGTTGGCCGTTTTCTAATCTATCACAAAAGTGGATGTGATCTGGAACGATTTATGCTTATATTTTTCAAACTAAGTAAGTCAGTTTCGATTTCTTCTTAAAAAAAAGACATTAGGGACATGGCCAAAACAATAGCCGACTTGCGAATTTTGCCTCACTAGACACTTAAAAAGGAATCAAGATGAGGCGCGGTGTTTAAGCCTAGTCATCCCTAAAAAGAGAATAGTTTTTCACGATTGACTGAGCTTTATGCAGGGGCGCCTTATCTTGATTCTTTTGTTTTTAACTACTGAGGCGAGACCCTCAGGACCAAGTTTTGTAGAAAAACACTCATTATTTCATATTATGATTTACATCATCGGATGTGTCTTTTAATGATTTATGCTTATTTAATCGCTTTTTGTTTTCAGGTAACCCCTGAAGCTGAGCTCACTTCATAAGTTTTTTTTTAGATTTACAAGCATGAATCGTGCACTTTTAATAATATTCAGGTCTGTATTTTGTACAGAACTTTATTGGTCAATTGCAAGGCGAATATTCATGACCTAATGAAGGAAGGAAGGGATGTTCACTAACTTGTCAAGTTTCATGACTATAAATTATGCAGAGAATGATGAGGAGTTAGCCTAATTATACTTTGTAAAAGAAATAAGGGTAGGATGCTTTTCACTCTCTTTATGGAGTTTCGAGTAGATAGTCATTGGCTTTTCACCTGTAATGAAAGAAGAAATTCAAGAATAAAAAAGTTTAAAACTGACACAAACTTTTTAGTTTATGATGGTATAGCCTCACATCAACCGGTTTAATTCTTCTCTTTTTCTTATTTGTTCTTTAACTCCTAATCAAAACTAGGGATGACAAAACGGTCAATTTTTTTTTTATTGTTGTTCTTTGAATAAATTTTAGTGAAAGACATCACTTAACTAGCACTGCACCGTACTGGTCATTAAGTTTTGCTAAATAACGACAAGAAAAAAATAATAATTTGTAATCTGACTGTTTTGAAGGAACATTGCCAGAAATTTCGAACCATTTGAGGCGGAGCTAATTAATTATGTTTTTTTTGCAACGTCAAAAAAAGGAAACAAAGTTAACCATATTTACTATCAAATGAAAGTCAGGACATAGCTCAATGTAACTAAAGTAAGGGAAGGCAGTCTACATAAATTGATGTTATAGCTATAATAGTACACGCTTTCTGATTAATTTAATGTTATTGTTTATTTCACCGTTAAACGCACGGATGCGAAAATGCTTATAAACAACACATTTTCGTGCGTTCCTGACCACGCGGGATGTTGGGAGAACACAAAAAAGGCGCTGCGACTAATAAAATGATAGAATCTTTATTCAAAAGACAATATCGATAATGAGCGCCTGGCTTTGTTATATATTCTATTAATAATTTCTAAAAAGATAGGTCTATAATCCTATCTGAAGTCAATTTGAATATGTTTGTTTCTTCCACCGGTACTATAAGAAATAAAAAAAGACTCACGCCATACGGACATGCAGTTAAAGTTTCTTTTGAGCAATTGCAAGCCGGTCTAAATCTACGACTCCTTTGGGTTTTGCACCAAAACCAAAACTGCCTTCCATACCTCATTATTAATAATAAAATATGAGAGATTCGGTAATGCACCTTGTCACCGCACTAAATGAAAATAAATAGAGCAGAGAAAACAATAACAAAATTTGAAAATATGTAAAAATTATGTAAAGAAAATTATGAATTCGCAAAAGCTCGCAGTTTAAGATTCATTTAAAAATTAATGAGTAACAATGATCAGTAACAATGATCAGCAATCAGTAACAATCAGAGGAGAGAGCAGCAATACTTAGTAGCCACGGAACTATATCATGAAAGCGTTAAAAGTGGTGATATCCTTCGAGATGTGGATGTTTTTAAATTTAGATTTTATGAAGAAGACCATGTGTGCCAACCGTATGGTGATCAAATACAGCTCAACCAGCAAATCATTACAAAGTGATTTCAAATTTTCCAACTTTTTCAAAATCCATGACCAGTATCTGAATTTCACACCTTTCAAAGCACTTCACGCAAAAACGTACAAAAAGTGCCTGGTTGATTGTGCAGCAGATCAAAGATGCATCTCTTTCAACTTTGCCAAGTTTCTCAGTTCCGATGGGCTTCATTTGTGTGAAATGCTTGATACGGACTTATTCAACGAAACATTAAGCTCGGCAAAATTCAATTACAGTGCAGACTACCTACACTTTACAAGAAAGGTAGGCACTTTAGATAGATAAAGCTCCAAAACACAGTCATTGTTACACAATAAAAGATAATGCAGCACTATTATATAAATATACCTCTAATTGCTCTAACGCTTTACCTGCAACGTTCTTTACCAACCACATCAATTTTCCGTGTAAATGGTCAACAAGTTTTCCTTGACAATTCTTCCTTGACAATGTTTCCTTGCTCGTGTAAACGAAGAACAAGAGATTCCTTGACATGAAAAATTTCCCGTGTGAATGGTCAACAAGTTTTCCTTGACAATTTTTCCTTGCCACTTTTTCGATCCTTGTTGTCCATTTACACGAGCAAATTTCGTCCTTGACAATTTTTCCTTGCCACATTTCCCTTGTTGTCCATTTACACGAGCAAATTTCGTCCTTGACAATTTTTCCTTGTCAAGGAAAAGCGAACATTTTGGCTTTTCCTTGACAAGGAAAATTTGTCAATTTTACCCCATTTACACGAGCATTTTTTCTTTGTCAAGGAAAACCTGTCAATGAAGAATTGCTCGATCGTGTAAGCGGCGCTTAACTTTTGTCTCTAAGAATTGAATTAAAGTTACAAAAAGGACAATGTCACTTATAAAACTCGCATCTGCAAGCGAACATGTAATATTCTAGTGAAAATAACACATTCGAGGTTTCTCTACATAGTATAAATAAGAAAAAAAGGTATTTTATGAAATGACTTGCTTTCATATGTAGTTATGTGATAAACAGAATATTACATGTTCGCTTGGAGATGCGAATCTTATCTTCTCGTGTTAAAAATCGCTACGCTCACTCGTGAGAGATCTTTTCAACACTCAGTCAGTTTAGGTAGTAATCAACCTGTACAACATGTCAACCTTTATAGTTAATATCCAACGCAGGATGACAGCAAATTGGCAGGCTGCATTGCAATATGATTGGATAGAATATAGCTTGACGTACTAAAATTTGATTTTCTAATAAGACGTTCGACCGAAGCTGAGAGCGAAAAGGCTATGTCCCGTGATAGTTTTAAGTTAAATTTGAAAGTGAAATTAAGACAGAAGATAGCTCTAATAGAGAACTAACTTTCTTTCAAGTTATAATATAAAGATATTTAGATTATACGATGGCACAAGGCTTTAAACTAGCGAAGGGCGTTTTTGGGTATGCATTGAAGGTTAAAGGTTGCAAGGGAGTAGTCAATCTGAAATTGCTGCAATATTACAGTGCTATAAAGCACGTGGGGATATCCAAAGTGATAAATTGGTAACTGAAATAAGGTGCCTTATAGTCTCGTTATACTGTCAAAGTCATATGGTTCTTATCGGACAGCTTAATGGAATTTCAAAATTAATAAAAGGAATTAGATGGAAGTGACAGCTAAAGAGTAACATGCTGTAACTAGATTTTGGCTTAAAAGGTACATAACCAAAAGCAAGAAAGTGTACTGAGAAAACCTATAAGATAGTAAGCTAAGTTATATTCGAGATAAATGTGTTGGAATCCCAGTGAATGAGACGCAAAACAGCTCGAAACATCACGATATGTACAAAACGGATGTCATATTTTATATCTAATCAAAATTTTGTTAAAATAAATATTCGTTTTATTAGAGTAAAACCGAAGTAAAAACATAGTGACGATCGTACTACTAGAAAATATTTATAAATATATATCCGATAATGTTATTTTATAACATAATTGGTTTCGATTTTAGACGGAGTGTTTATTCATGCCATGTCAGCCAGGATTCCTCTGTCTTCCAGACTACGTTCGAGACAAATACACCTGCAAAACTAGAAAAGAAATGAGAGGTAACTCAAGGCACTTATGCAGTGGCCAAATAAAGAAACTTATTCACATACATTGTATACATAAAACTTAGAAAGCTGGACCGGCACACAACACCATAACCCGATACTCATACCGCTGTTAGATTAGGTCGCGCTCTTTGTTTGACGTTTCATCAAGTTTATTTAATTGAGTTGAATATTTTTCCAAGTTACATTCAGGATTCCTTTACAATCGCTTTTTATCCCTCAGCTGGATTTCTTCTAAACCACTTCGAAGTACAAGTGGGAAAGGAGAGTCACTGAGTACAAAATGAGACTATTAGATTAAAATGAATCCGCGAAATGTACCGACCATTTTTATTATAAATTTAAAGCCATATTCACAACCTTTCTTTTGCCATATTTACTTTTATGTGCATATTTCTAATTATTAATTTATTCTTTCATTTCTTTGTATGTCCTTCAGTAGTTGGAGAGAATAAATTGAAATGCGAATGCAGCCTACTACAACTGGAAACGAAGCCAGAAAAAAAAATCTGACTTTGAACAGGATCCCGTTCAAAGTCAGATTTATTTCTGGCTTCGTTTCCAGTAGTAGGCTGCATTCGCATTTCAATTTATTCTTTCATTTGATTCATCAACTTGTTTTTGTCTGATTTTTAATACCATTCTGTTTTCATTATCAAAATCACAGCAGGGTATCAAGATATTCTGTTGATGAGAACGTTCACAGATCTTATTTATTTAAGTTAGGGTTTCACAAAATATAAATTAAAATGGAGATTGACATATTGGGCTTACGCAACCCTGATGGTGGAACGTTAAAGAATGATTCTCACTCCTAGAGGATGACCTTTAAAAAAAAAAAATAATGGACCTGAAGAAACGACTATTCATACTCCAAAGCTGTATCTAAGCCTGTTTTTAATCATAAATCTTAACAGTGAAATGTTATTTTTTCCGACGCCTAAAGAAAGCAACATGAATTGTAACCTCGCAAAGTTAATAAGATGATGCAGGCATGCGCATGCGAGGTATACGGGACTCTATTTACATGCACTGTCCAGGAGGGGGCGAAATCATGAAATCAGGTCAAGGCTATTTTCTTGTTGTGTTCTGGGGAATATTGTGAATTCTGCTTGACGGGCTGCTAATTGAATTGGAAAACATGTCATTAATACCCACTGGGATGTTAAAAACAAAGAAAAACTATGCTTAACGTTTTGCTTTGCTTTTGTTTTGGCTTTTGTTTATATTTTTTGCCATCCAGTATGGCGGATATAGCACTATGTGACCATTTCGTGCAAAATGTCTATTACTCAATCACGTGAAACTGTTTGGTCAGTAATGTCATAAAAATATAATTGAACTAGTTTATAAACGCTGAATCGTGAGCCCTAAATACCGCGGTGCATTACTTCGGTTCCTCAGTTGAATTAAACATCAACTCACGATGAATTGTATCTTAGAAAGCCCAATAAGAGCGGCAGAAAGATATGGATCCTATCTGTGCTTGCAACCAAAAAGTGGTGACTGTAACCCGATTGAAAACCAAACCACGTGGACTCATGGTCTTGTATGGAAACTCGCCGACAAGAGCTGTTCAGCGGAGTACATGAAATTTCTCTTCGATGCTGATGGAATAATTTATCATAAATGTAGTGGAAAGATTGTTTGTCCCCATGGTAAGAAAA